CCATAGTTAAACCAGAGTTAATCCAGAGTTAAACTACAGTTAGTCCAGAGTTAATCCAGAGTTAAACTACAGTTAGTCCAGAGTTAATCCAGAGTTAAACTACAGTTAGTCCAGAGTTAATCCAGAGTTAATCCATGAAATGAAATATTTTCACCAGGATTTGATGTGTCTAAATGTAGAACGACTACTGAAGTTAGCTGAAACAGCTGAAACTGAACATTTAAATATGATAAATGTATATAATATTTAATTATAATGTTGGAAGCAAAATATGAGCTAAAACAGTACGGACAAACTGCAAGCTAAAGGCCAAAAAATGTCAGCTAATAGTATCAAAAACGTAGCAAGAAACTAAAAAATACTGCCAAAGAGTAGCAAACTAGCTGAACGCTAAAAGTTGCAAAACACTGGCTAAAAACTTTTTAGAAGCTGCAGCAGGTTCATTAAAAGCTAAAAGAAGTAAAGAGCTAGCTAACAGTAACTGGAAAGAGTGAAATGTGGTACAAGAGTTTATTTAAACTCTTAAAGTGTTTGAATTTTACACTATTCTGGTGTTACGTGTTTAACTCCAATGTCCAGTGTTGTTTCGACACTGGCAGCTTGGACTCAAACGATCAGCAAGTTTGATGTAAAATTTACTCTTAAAGTCTAACTTAAACACTTAACGTTTTGCTAAAAGTAGCTAAATGTTCGTAAAAAGCAGAAGTTTAGTTAAAGGCTAAAATGCTGACTAGCAATAATTTGTAAAACACTAGCAAAAAAGGGCCAACTAAACATGTAAAGTAGCATTCAGCAAATAAATGCTGAGTCAGCGTTCAGATGAAAAATGCTGACTCAGCATTGACACTGTAAAAAACCACCATGTTGTATGTTTCCAGGTGAGAAAGGAGACCAGGGCTTAGTTGGCCCTCCAGGTGACCAAGGACCCCAGGGAATAATGGGCTTGTGTCCCGCTTCCTGCGAGACCATCCCAGGTCCACCAGGACCACAAGGATCACCTGGGCCTGCAGGAGCCCGGGGTCTTCCAGGGCTGATAGGAGCCAATGGAGTCAACGGCACTAAGGGGGATAAGGGGGACACGGGTATAGCAGGTGTTCCAGGGTCTCCTGGTCCGAAAGGAGACCAGGGGGCCCAGGGGATCTGTCAGTGCACGGACGGAGCCCCCGGGATGCCCGGAGCCAAGGGCAGCAAGGGAGACAAAGGTGACCAGGGTCTACAGGGTACGCAGGGTCTCGCAGGGCTGAAGGGAGACCAGGGACCAGTGGGTGTCACAGGTCCAACCGGTCCCTGTACCCCAGCCATTAAGTCCTCGTTCTCCGCCTCCCTCAACCAGTCTTACCCCGCCCCCTTTTGGCCCATCAGTTTCCAGAACATCCACGCCAACCCTCAGGGGCACTTCAACACCCCGATGACGGGCATCTACTCCGCCCCCATCAACGGCACCTACGTCTTCTCCTTCCACCTGACGGTCGGGGTCCGGATCCTCAAGGTGGGCCTCTACAAAAACTTCATCCCCATCCTCAAAGTGACCGGGACCACCAACATGGCCACCGTCAGCGACACCATCGTCCTGCCGCTCGCCATGGGAGACATGATCTGGCTGCAGGTGAAGGACGCCACCACCAACGGGGTCTACACCGACAGCGAGTCCTCCAGCACCTTCTCCGGGTTCCTGCTGACCCCGGACTACTGCGACCTCGCCACGGGCAGAAGTCTTTTTGAAACTCTGCCCACCGCTCCTTCTGGAGGTTTTCCCAATCATAACTAATCCAGCCTAATCTGTCCTAATCCGTCACTGAAGCTGGAGACGGAGGAGTTCTGAATGTGAGAAGGTTTTAAAGGAGGGGTTTTTGTTTCACCTTTTTTTTTTTTTACTAATTTTGACAAAAAAATCCTGATGCATAAATCTGATCATGAAGTCTTTTTATTGACTCTTTTTGTGAATAAATTCAAGATTTTATACAGAAAAAAACTGCTGACGAGAAATAAAATAAAATAAAATGAACTAATAAAAGCTGTTCTGTGTTTTAGCTCTAACCTGAGGTTTGTTCCAAACATAAACATAAATAACATCAAGATAAAGACCCCTCCTTTAAACACGAGTTTATTTTAGAGCTGCAGTTTTAGACGAGAAAAGCTTTTATTTTTTAGACTCGATTATCTTGCTGAAGCTCAGTTTGCTTTTTAAAATGTAGATGATTCATAAATAAAATAAATTATATTGAAATGCAACTAAAGACGATGCATTCATTTAAAAAACCTTATTTTTATTTCAGAGCAGAAACTGAAGCTAACTTTATAAGATTTACTTTTTTCTTGTATAAATCGTTTAAAAATCTGTTTCAGAGGAAATAAGATTTCAAACAAACGGCTCAAGACTTTTATTTTTTTAAACCCAGATGACTTCCTGTTGGAGATTTGTTTTTAAGGCTCTGAAAGTTTTATTTTTTTTAGCAGCTGATGATTGAGTGAAAGTTGAAAGTGAAAATGTTTGTCTGACTGAAAACAGAAAGTAAAAAATATAAATCCTAAAATCCTGTGAATTTATTCAGATCTAAATAAAGAACTTGTTGAAGTTTATTTGTTCTTAAACCTCCTTCTGTTACAGAAAATACAAAAAGGTTTGATTTTTAAATGAACAAACATCCATTTGTTGAAGCTTAAATTAAACACTTCTAACAATGTGACACAAAACACATAATTCTCTAATTTCCTGCATATTTTCATATTAAAAGCAGCTGATAATTTCAGTAAATCCAGACGGTTCTGAAGAGCAGGAAGGATTGGATTAAATATTTTACACAATAAATTAAAGTAAATGTACGGAAGCCTCATACTGCAACTGAGAAAAATAAATTTAAGAGTCAAAAATATAAGATTATTTTCTGTAACTGTAATTTCATTTTATATTTGTCTTTTTCTCTGGTAAAAATGACTTTATATCTTATAATTTATATCTTTTTATCCAAAATGAAAATGACTATCATATATTAAGACAATTTTTTATTTTGAAATATTAAAAGTAAAAACTGTGGAATTAATTAATCCAACAGGTTTTATTGTAACAGAACAAACGTTTCCTTCCTGTCAGAGAAAAGCAGCTTTTTTACAGAAACGTTTCTACATGAGCTCCAACCTCAGGTCCAGTTGGTTCTAACAGAACCTCTGAAGGTTCTGAAAAGACTAAAACTAAAATCCTAGGATTTATTTTAGAGACGTTTTCCTTTAAAAGAAGATTTCTTCTGTTTGGAGCAGTAACATGAGAGGAATTCAGTCATCAAATACAAATGATTTTTCTTCTTTGAGTTTTACAGATGATGAGTTAAAASCTGGTGTGGTGGTAGCTGAGCGTCCCCTCTAACACSTACTCTGAGGGCTAACAGATTAGACAGCAGAACGGTCCTTTAATCCAGGATCCTCTTCTTCTACTTCTCTTTGGGCGCCATGTCGTCGCCCGCCGACACGTTTCCTTCCTCATCATCATCGTCACCGATGATCCCCTTCAGGTAGGAGCGCTTGAACTCCTGAAAGACCAGCTCCTCCTCCAGCTCACTGGAACCAACAGAACCTCTCCGTCAGCCTCAGATTATGGGAAATGATTCAGATTACACCAGAAAAATACAGATTACAGCAGGAAAGAAAACTGATTACTGCAGGAAAAATATTATAGCAGGAAAAGCACAGATTACAGCAGGAAAACACAGATTACTGCAGAAAAGCACAGATTACTGCAGGAAAAACAAAGATTACTGCGAGAAAAACATTACTGCAGAAAAACACAGATTACTGCAGGAAAACACAGATTACTGCAGAAAAGCGCAGATTACTGCAGGAAAACACAGATTACTACAGAAAAACACAGATTACAGCAGGAAAAAACAGATTACAGCAGGAAAACACAGATTACTGCAGAAAAGCGCAGATTACTGCAGGAAAACACAGATTACTACAGAAAAACACAGATTACAGCAGGAAAAACACAGATTACAGCAGGAAAACACAGATTACTGCAGAAAAGCGCAGATTACTGCAGGAAAACACAGATTACAGCAGGAAAAAACATGGATTACTGCAGGAAAAACACAGATTACAGCAGGAAAAAACATGGATTACTGCAGGAAAAACACAGATTACAGCAGGAAAAAACATGGATTACTGCAGGAAAAACACAGATTACAGCAGGAAAAACAGATGGATTACTGCAGGAAAAACACAGATTACAGCAGGAAAAACAGATTACTGCAG